TGTGAAACACTGATGCCCCCGTATGGCAACTTACAGCAAAGTTTAAACTTTCTCAAATGCAAATCAAAAACGTTGGTACCCAAAGTAAGGTCTTGTCTCGAGAAATATACCTGTGAAACATGAAAGCTCTATCAGCAACCATTGAATAGATATGGAAAAGGTTAAAGTTTTTCAAAAGTATGTCAAACTCTAAGGTCAAAGTCAAATGGTCAAAATTAAAGGTGCCCAAGGAAAGGCCTTTTCACAAGAAATATACAGGTGAAATATGATAGCCGAAGCACCAATCGTTCAAAAGTTATGACCAAGGTTAAAGTTTTTCAAAAGTAGGTCAAACTCCAAGGTCAAGGTCAATGGATTACAATTGTTGGTATCCAAAGGAAGGTCTTGTCACAAGGAAAAAAACTGTCAAATATGAAAGCCCTAGCACCAAATTTTCAAAAGTTGCGTCCAAGGTTAAAGTTTCCGAAAAGTAGGTCAAACTCCAAAGTCAAGGTCAAAGTTGTTGGTATCCGAAGGAAGGTCTTGTCACAAGGATTACATATGTGAGGTATGAAAGCCCTATCACCAACCTTTCAAAAGTTATGTCTAAGGTTAATGTTTACCAAAAGTAGGTCAAACTCCAAGGTCAAGGTCAAAGTTGTTGGTATCCAAAGGAAGGTCTTGTCACAAGGATTACATATGTGAAGTATGAAAGCCCTAGCGCCAACCGTTCAGAAGTTATGGCCAAGGTTAAAGTTTTCTAAAAGTAGGTCAAACTCCAATGTCAAGGTCAAAGGGTCAAAGTTGTTGGCATCCAAAGGAAGGTCTTGTCACAAGGATTACATATGTGAAGTATGAAAGCCCTAGCACCAAACGTTCAAAAGTTATGGCCAAGGTTAATGTTTTCCAAAAGTAGGTCAATCTCCAAGTCAAAGTTGTTGGCATCCAAAGGAAGGTCTTGTCGCAAGGATTGTATATGTGAAGTATAAAAGCCCTACCATCAACGGTTCAAAAGGTATGGCCAAGGTTTAAGTTTTTCAAAAGTAGGTCAAACTCTAAGGTCAAGGTCAAAGTTGTTAGTATCTTAAGTAAGGTCTTGTCACAAGAATTACATATGTGAAGTATAAAAGCCTTAGCCTCAACTGTTCAAAAGTTATGGCCAAGGTTAAAGTTGGGTAAAATTTTGCAAAATTGGGTGAAACTCCAAGGTCAAGGTCAAATATGGTGGTACCCAAAGAAAGGTCTTTTCACAAGAAATACACATGTGAAATATGAATGCCATAGCTCCAACCAGTCAAAAGTTATAGACAATGTTAAAGGTTTTGCGGACAAACAGACAGACAGACGGACGGACAGAGCAAAAACTATATACCCCGAATCTTCGATACGGGGGCATAAAAATACTATAGTTAAACTAGATTAACTCTAGTTTACTATAGTTAACTATAGTGAACTATAGTGATAACTTTGACACTATGAAAACTTTGATTTACTATAATGATAACTTTGACACTTTGATTTACTATAGTGATCACTATGATAACTTTGATTTACTATAGTGAAAACTTTGAAAACTTTGATTTACTATAGTGAAAACTTTGATTTACTATAGTGATGTTTGATACTTTGATTTACTATAGTGATCACTATGAAAACTTTGATTTACTATGGTGAAATCTTTGATTCACTATAGTGAAAACTTTGAAAACTTTTATTTACTAAAGTGATAACTATGACACTATAGTGATAACTTTGAAAACTTTGATTTACTATATTGATAAGTTTGACACTTTGATTTATCATAAGCTTAACTATAACTCACAGAGTTATAAACTATTAACTATGACTCACAGAGTCATTCAGAACAGATAATGGATGCAATTCATGCTACTAAGCTCTCGGTTAAAAATATTAAAGGTAAGTACACAAACTAATTTCACAGTTAAATGCCTCAAAAGAATATTAAATACATATTAATGAATTTCCAATTCCAATGATACTAATCCCAAAAGACACCAAGTTATATATAAAACAAGAGGCCCATGGGCCACATCGCTCACCTGAGTAACTTTGGCCATGCTGTTCATTACCAGACTTCCCCCCTTGTAATACCTATTGTGGCCCTGCCCTACCCCCGGGGGTCATGATTTGAGCAATTTAGAATCTACACTATCCCAGGATGCTTCCACATAAGTTTCAGTTTTTCTGGTCCAGTGGTTCTTGAGAAGATTTTTAAAGATTTTTCCTATATATTTCAATGTTTCCCTATTGTGGCCCCGCTCTACCCCCGGGGTCATGATTTGAACAATTTAGAATCTACACTACCCCAGGATGCTTCCACATAAGTTTCAGCTTTTCTGGCTCAGTGGTTCTTGAGAAGAAGATTTTTAAAGATTTTTGCTATATATTTCAATGTAAAACTTGTATTCCCTATTGTGGCCCTGCCCTACCCCCAGGGGTCATGATTTGAACAATTTAAAATCTACACTACCCGAGGATGCTTCCACATAAGTTTCCGCTTTTCTGGCTCAGTGGTTCTTGAGAAGACGATTTTTAAAGATTTTTCCTATATATTTCAATGTAAAACTTGTATTCCCTATTGTGGCCCCGCCCTACCCCCGGGGGTCATGATTTGAACAATTTAGAATCTACACTATCCCAGGATGATTCCACCTAAGTTTCAGCTTTTCTGGCTCAGTGGTTCTTTAGAAGAAGATTTTTAAAGATTTTTCCTATATATTTCAATGTAAAACTTGGATTCCCTATTGTGGCCCCGCCCTACCCCCAGGGGTCATGATTTTAACAATTTAGAATCTACACTATCCCAGGATGCTTCCACATAAGTTTCAGCTTTTCTGGCTCAGTGGTTCTTGAGAAGAAGATTTTTAAAGATTTTTCCTATATATTTCAATGTAAAACTTGGATTCCCTATTGTGGCCCCGCCCTACCCCCAGGGGTCATGATTTTAACAATTTAGAATCTACACTATCCCAGGATGCTTCCACATAAGTTTCAGCTTTTCTGGCTCAGTGGTTCTTGAGAAGAAGATTTTTAAAGATTTTTCCTATATATTTCAATGTAAAACTTGGATTCCCTATTGTGGCCCCGCCCTACCCCCAGGGGTCATGATTTTAACAATTTAGAATCTACACTATCCCAGGATGCTTCCACATAAGTTTCAGCTTTTCTGGCTCAGTGGTTCTTGAGAAGAAGATTTTTAAAGATTTTTCCTATATATTTCAATGTAAAACTTGGATTCCCTATTGTGGCCCCGCCCTACCCCCAGGGGTCATGATTTCAACAATTTAGAATCTACACTATCCCAGGATGCTTCCACATAAGTTTCAGCTTTTCTGGCTCAGTGGTTCTTGAGAAGAAGATTTTTAAAGATTTTTCCTATATATTTCAATGTAAAACTTGTATTCCCTATTGTGGCCCCGCCCTACCCCCGGGGGTCATGATTTTAACAATTTAGAATCTACACTATCCCAGGATGATTCCACGTAAGTTTCAGCTTTTCTGGCTCAGTGGTTCTTGAGAAGAAGATTTTTAAAGATTTTTGCTATATATTTCAATGTAAAACTTGGATTCCCTATTGTGGCCCTGCCCTACCCCCGGGGGTCATGATTTGAACAATATACAATCTACACTACCCCAGGATGATTCCACATAAGTTTCAGCTTTTCTGGCTCAGTGGTTCTTGAGAAGAAGATTTTTAAAGATTTTTCCTATATATTTCAATGTAAAACTTGGATTCACTATTGTGCCCCCCCCCCTACCCCCGGGGGTCATGATTTGAACAATTTAGAATCTACACTATCCCAGGATGCTTCCACGTAAGTTTCAGCTTTTCTGGCTCAGTGGTTCTTGAGAAGAAGATTTTTAAAGATTTTTCCTATATATTTCAATGTAAAACTTGGATTCCCTATTGTGGCCCCGCCCTACCCCCGGGGGTCATGATTTGAACAATTTAAAATCTACACTACCCCAGGATGATTCCACATAAGTTTCAGCTTTTCTGGCTCAGTGGTTCTTGAGAAGAAGATTTTTAAAGATTTTTCCTATATATTTCAATGTAAAACTTGGATTCCCTATTGTGGCCCCGCCCTACCCCCGGGGGTCATGATTTTAACAATTTAGAATCTACACTATCTCAGGATGCTTCCACATAATTTCAGCTTTTCTGGCCCAGTGGTTCTTGAGAAGAAGATTTTTTAATGACCCCACCCTATTTTTGTCTTTTCTTGATTATATCCCCTTGAAAGGGGACTTGGCCCTTTATTTTAACAATTTAAACTCCCCGTCACCCAAGGGTACTTTGTACCAAGTTTGGTTAAAATTGGCCCAGTGGTTCTTGAGAAGAAGTTGAAAATGTGAAAAGTTTACAGACGGACGGACGGACAGACGGACGGACGACGGACAACGGGTGATCAGAAAAGCTCACTTGAGCTTTCAGCTCAGGTGATCTAAAAAGGGTTTTTTGTTTGTTTGTATGTTGTTTAACGTCCCTCTCGAGAATTTTTCACTCATGTGGAGACGCCACCACTTGCCGGTGGAGAGCTGCAAATTTTGTCCTATGCTCGGCACCTACGGCCATTGAGCAGTGAGGGATCTTTAAAAAAAGGTATTATCAGTGTTACTCAGTATCACATTCAGGTATTGCAATTACATATTTAACAGATAAATTTTGTATTTCGGCAGGAAATCGACCTCATATACAGCACAGGTACTTGTCAAGTATATATATATATATATATATATATATATATATATATATATATATATATATATATATATATATATTAAATTGTAAGTATAATATATAGTAACATGATAAAATAAATCCAAGCAAATATAATGGATGCTTCAAACTACAATAAAAAAAAAATTACACAGAAGGTCCACCACCCATCCCAATCCTAACCTTATTTCACAATTAACAATAAAATAATCTATTATAATATGTTATCTAATCTAAGGAGAAATACACCTAGCCTAAAGTTAATGTCCATGATGTTTACTGTTTTCCTCTAGTTTGAACAGGTAATCTAGGGGAGATGGTCTTCTGTAGGGTTCCGGCTTCCTAGCAGATTGTCGTCTAGGCATCTGGTACACGATAGATTTCAATCTGGAGGGTGGCGGAGACCTTCCGGTAAGACACATTAGGGCGCTCACCTTCCCCTGGACCTCATCTCCTGCTGTGTCTGGGATTTCTTGAGAAGATCCTCCAACCGGTTGGTGGCAAGAGTGTTATTCCTCAGGGCCCTGCGCTGCCTCTCGATGATGGCTTTCAGCTCTGCGGGCCCTGCCCTGCCTATCGATGATGGCTTTCAGCTCTGCCACATCATCCTTCCATGGAGAGGTATTAACTCCTATGTCCCTGGTGGTTTTGGGAGGTATATTTTCCAGATCGAACTCACTGGTGTCTTCCATGATCAGAAACTCATCAAGGATGGATGCTTCTTCTGTATTAAGTGATGAAAGTGTGATCGTGGAGACTGATGGAAGAGGCACAGCAGAAGATGAGACAGGCACAGCAGATGGAGGAGCTGTAGGTGAAATCACAAGAGTAACAGGAGCTGATGGCACAGAAGGTAATGGCAGCGATGCACGTGGTGCAATGGAAGGGTAGCTGATACTGGCAGATGAACAGGGAAACTGGGGAAGTGGTGGAACCACAGGCCTTCTCTTACTCTCCCAGTATCTCCTGAACTCCTCAATGGACCATTGTCGCATCATCGAGAACACCACCTTGCTCTCCAGCCGTATCTCCTCTGGACGCTGCAGGGTGTCGGTAGAAAGAGATGATGCCATAGAACGATGAATCTCATACACTTAATATGGCTAATGAAGTTGGTATAGTTGTATTGACTATATTGGCACAAGGTACATTGATAAGGCCACTCCTCTATGGTTAAGTGTTTGAGTAAACATGCTTCATTACAGTGTGTCCCTCTCCTCGGTACTGGCAAACCACGCAACTCCACACTCTGCCTCTTCTGTCGGCTGTGGTCATCAACGACATCCTGCAAGTTGATAACGGGTAATTTGTCCCGTTTTAATGAGAAGAATACCCCATTTATTTGAACCAATAGTAAGACTTGCATCATGTAAAATGAACATGATAAACAACAACTCTTGTTGTATTCATAATAAATTACTTGTTATTTGTACGTTGCAAAGGCATGACAGAGAATAAAAAAAATGGTAAGTTTAATTCTGTTTCCTTTTCATACCCAGTGCAACTTTTTGGATTCATTTGGGTGGATTATCACCTCGATAAGGCAACAACTTGTTGTGGTTAACAACTCGACACAATACTCTAGCATCAATCTGAATCTTGAAAACCAATCCAGAGTAAACTTCTGTGACAATGCAAGGTCCTACATAAGCTTGTTTAATTTTGGACATTCATTTTCTCCAAGTTTTTCATTTAACAACCAAACATCACCAGTTGTATATTTGTTAGTCAAAACCTTTGTGTTGTAAACATCTTTTTGTCTTTGTGCAGCTTGTTTTAAGTGTCTCCGGCAAATCTCATGAGCTTCATAAAGGTTGGAACTAATTTCTTCCACAGATGCCCCACATGAAGAAACTTCCTCGCCATAAGTAGCCAATGGATGGCGAGTTTCAGTTATTACATGTATTTCATGCTCTGTGAGGTGAGTTCTGCCTAAATCATATTCATCTTTGGAGAAGACATCTTTATAATTCTGTAGCAGGTTTTTGAAGATTTTTACCTCTTCTTTGAAAAAGTTGCTTAAAGACCTCTCATACAGATCTGTTAAGTGGGCTAAAGATTCCTCTTCAGTTTGACCTCCCAACCCCTTTCTATTTTCAGCTACTTTTCTGACATTATTTCACCAGCTACCTGTAAACCCAATCTTGAAACCTCCAAACAGACCTCAGCAAGTCCCAGAACTGTATCTTGGTACACTGTTTTCGTTTCTTCCAGAGGATTCATGATTCTCAAGGGTACTGTAACTCTCTTAACAATATCAATCGCTGCTGGCGCCACAAGCAACGAAGATTTAGCTGTAAATTGTGGTGAAGGTTGAAAAAGAAAATTTTTTCTTTAGCTTCTTCATTATTGCGTCCCCATCTTCGCTAGCCAAGGGTTTCCGATCCGAAATCTACTCTACAACCCTTGGCAGATTTGGCTGAAAATTTTAGAACTCGTGCAAACGAATTTGATTGGCTGCGAAGTCCCAGTCTACGCAAGGTTTTTACTAATCGACGATTTTCGGCTGAATTAAAGTCTGTTCGTGTTTTATGCAAAAGAAGAGTATTATTTACAAGGGATGAAAGTTAGGACTTGATATATGCTAAAAAAAAAAAAAAACAAGGGAGTAATTAATTTGAAATTTTTTCTTTTGATTATATACGTTTTCAAGAATTATTGAAAGGACCACATAAGTCCGTGTTCCGCATTTTAGGTGCATCAATTTAAGCCAATCAAATGTCACGGCTTATTGATAATAATTGATACGGAATTATGTAGAAAGTGTTGTCAAACTCTTGACAAAAAATCACGACGAACGATATTTTCTACCACTTTTGAGGTGTGCCAACAGCTGTATGAGGTTGCTGGGTTATATTCCACATCAAATTGCATGTAGGTCGCCATATTGTTTCAAACGTCATATTGATTTACGTATGTTACAGCTATTTTCATTGGACAAATATTAAAGAGCTTCAAGGGACTTAACTCAATTACGGCGATAGGCGGCGCAATTAAAGTTCCCGTTTGATAGGACTAAATCTGCCAAGGGTTGTAGAGTAGATTTCGGATCGGAAACCCTTGGCTAGCGAAGATGTTGCGTCCCACGAATGCCTGGATCAGCATTTCACTCATAGGGGGTACATTGTACTGGTCAGCTGATCTAAAAGTTAATTTCGATTCATTATCATTTGCCGAAATGCATGGACGTTCATGTCCATAAAATTTGATTATCTTTCTATCCAGAAGAATCTCTGCTTTACTATCTTTGTCCATTAAAATGTCCATTCCCAACAGAGCATCATCTTCGATTTCTGCTACCAGAAGTGGTTTCGCAGTACAGTTAAGGTGCCGAATGGAAATATCGGCGAATTCTTTAGATAGAAAATACATTTTTTTTGCAAGGATGGGCGTTTCTTTTTAGGACTTTACTATTGTCGGACAAATGCAATGTGGTTGAAAACTACATGTTGAGGACGATTAGATTTCTTATTTAGACTTGTCACTTGATGTGGCATATACGTGATTTTAGCAAATATACCTGAAGTATTGAGGTCATCTATAAATTCTAATATTGCAAGGGCATAACCAAGTTAAAAATCTAAGTTTAACATATAATTCTTTTCAACACTCTTTGTAGTTTGTGAAAAGTCCTGCGAACCTATATAGATTATACTATCTAATTGCTAAAATTACATTTGTTAGACCGTATGTTGAATTTTTTGCTGGTCAATTACATTAAATACAGATATAATTAATTCATTTGCAAGATTTCAACAGGTTCGCAGCACTTTTCAAATATCTTCATACTTCTTGAGATTATGTGTAGAAGCTTGTCATAATTCATTGAGGGTATGCCCTTGCAATATATCGATTTAATACGACCCTTCTATTACCCTTCAATGAATCTGCATACAAATATACGACAGTATCGCTTGTCTAGGGAATGTACGGGAAGTATATGAATAAAATCATAAAATAGGCATCGCATCCAAGTTAATGGCCTTTTATATATCTACAATTTATATTTTATTTAATTACAAAATACATTTTTTCATTGTATAAATATAACTTGATCCGCCTCTCACTGCATACAAACTGCGTCAAATTTTACGATAAGACGTCACATTGACAAGTGCATTGCGATCAGTGAATTGTTATATTGCTGTGTGGGATTTAACCAACGACAATAATGCATGCACTAGTTAGTATTGACGTAGTTTAAAGCTATTCAACAGTTTAAAATAGCAAATCATTTCATTTTGTGGTAATTTGAAGAACTTACATTTTTGTGTGATGTCATAGTAAGCATTTCCAGTATAAATTAGGCCCCGCCTCCTTACTGCAGCCTTAACTGTGCTGCGTTCTCTATTCTTACTTCTCCAATTTGAATTTCAAAGGATCCCAGCCATAAACAGGTATATTAGCCCCACCTACACCTCGGAGTTGAGACTTTCCCATTAACAAAGGTTTTTGATCATCCTTCAATTTGTATATTCTATGAAACAGAATACTAGTGGAAGCTCCAGTATCTGTAGTAAAATGAACAAAATATCCATTCATCGTTCCTTCTAGATAATTCCTGTGGTATTCGGTAATCTGTTTAATTTTGTAGTTAAATCTAGCTTCTCTTCTTTTGTAGGGTCTCTACTGCCCGTCTGTCGGTCCTCAGTAGTCATTTTTATAACCTCCCTTCGACCCTCAGAAATGGCTAATGGACATTTAAAGGATGTGGTCTCACAACAGGCTGTTGAGTGTGGTTGTGGGGTATTTTCAAGGGACATTCCCGTGCATAGTGTCCATTTTGTTTACAGTAGTAACAGACAGTGGTAGGTATTCTGTTGTCACCATTTTCAGTTTTCAGGTGGTTTGTCACTTGCTGTGGTTCTTCGTCATCTAAAATGTCAGTCTCCTCTTTCAGGCCATATTTCTGCTTGTATAAAATCTAATTCCTTGCTTAACTTTTGCAGCTGTACTTATAATTCATTGTTTCTTTGTTGTTCTTCTCTCTGTTTTGCTGTACTTCTTGTCTGACTTCCCTTTGGAAATTTCCTAAAGGCTTCACTTCTGGCTTCATTTTTCTGTACTTTGATTTGTCCCACAATTTTGTGCTTGGTTTTCTGTGCTCGACCAGTCTCTTCGAAATTTATTACTTGTAAGACGGCCTCATCTATATTCTCCGGCTCTTTAATATATTCCACATGAAACTGGGCATCGCTGTCTGCTAGACCATCTAAGATTGATTGATTGATTGTATGTTGTTTTACGTCCCATTCGAGAATTTTTCACTCATATAGAGACGTCACCATATACCGGTGAAGGGCTTCAAATTTTGACCTTTACTCGGCACTCAGGGCCATTGAACAGTGAGGGATCTTTATCGTGC